AAAAAAAAAAACAAAAAGAAGGATCTTTCGTTTATGTCGTTTACGGCTTATTCTTTTTATTCTAACTTGAGTTAGAAAGCCAATCGGAACCTCTTTTTTTGGTCTTCTTCTATGATTTCATAAGTTTTTCGTTTTGCCTTTGAAAAGCCTTTTTTTTTTTTACTCCTCCAATATAATGCACGTATAATTACTCGGTGGTACTTTCAGTTGCCACTTAGGATGTGCAGTTAAGAAATCATAGAACGTATGATTCGTTGAATATCTGTCGTTTGTTGGAAATGTCTCACTGGAAAAATAGTACTGTAGCAAGAGACGAAAGCGGGAAGTTTGCTTACCGATTCCGAACGGTTTAGCCGGTGCAGAAACGAAGTTCTCGTCGTTTCTCGCGTGACTCGCGGATGCACGTCGCGAATGAAGCAGGCCATTCAACTCGGTGTTGAGATCAGTCACGCTTTCGGAACGCGTCACGTTCAAAGAGTCCATCGATGTGTCGGATCTCATGATCTGCAAGCAGTCGACGACTAGCATCATGCTACTGTTTTCTCTCTCAGCACAGAGAGACACTGTGTAATTCCAACTTTGTACAGTCCGTCCAAAATCAATCAGTCCCTGCTCTTTGCTGTTGTTTAAAGAACAATGTTTCCTTCGTGTCTTACAGCATGTGTATTTGCATGGCCAAATGATTGTAGACGAACAGTGACAATTTTGAGAAGATGACAGGGATAGGAAACGACAACTGAAACAAATGGCAAAGCAAATGATACTGAAACAATAAGAGAGATATTTGAACTGAAATGAATAGAGTGAAGAATACCAATTATATAGGATACAGAAGAAGACAGAAATAAAGAAAGAGAAAAAACAAATTAAACGAAAGCATACAGTGCGTCCGAGACGGCGGAGAGGCAGTAGTACCTGCGAGAAGTTGGGTACGCTTGCTGTCTTGCGCATAAGTGGTTGACCTTGTGCCTGTAGCAGTTCCTTCACAGCGACGTTCTGCCGTAACCGGTCTAAAGTTAAGATACTTTCCACCGCAGACACGCCGCGTGTATATTTTTCTATGCAAACAACAGACACGTGAGTTTGTTTCGAGTTGCATCATGCGATGCACATGTTGGAAACGTTGGCTTTACCGATGTAAGTTTCACCATCGCACAAGCTGTTGTCCTCACCGCTGGCAGCTATCTGTGCCAGGCTCTCGCGATCCTCCAGTTCCTCGCTGGCCTTTGGTATATTGGACACGACCTCGTAAGTGACGCCAGTTTGAGTCAAACAGTCGGTACGGACGATCCTCTTGAAGATTCGGTCCGTGATACTTTGTCGCTTGTAGATGTTCAAGGCCAGCCGTTTACGCAGCACAAGGTCCATCGGCGCCGGATGCGACAGACGTACCGTCGTTTTCAAAATTAAAAAAACCCGCTCGTTCGCTGAAACACACCCGCGCTATCGAATCGAGAGTATTGAACGTTACATACAGTATCATAGTTTCTGGCATCGTGCGTGCATTTTACCATCTGTGACTTTGTTCAGATGTATGTTGTCGTGTATACTGGAGTCCCAAGCGGCGATAGCGCACACGTCCTTCTCTATGCGACGAATTATTGGTAAGTTGTAAAACTTGTTGCCATGCTCCTTTGGTAAGATCGAGTTCAACCCGGTTACGGAGACTTCCTCCCCCGATTGATGGGTTGAGAGATCATCCGCTGTAAATACATAGGATTTTATAAAAACGAAAGAAGTTCTAGCGCTTTTATCTCAGTTCAGTAAAAGCGCTTGAAAAGTATAAAAAAGAATTACCGTTGAGATCAAGAAACAGAACAGGGATGTGTGGCTCCATGCCTGAAGGAGGATTCCAGTCGGCAGGTGCACCAGGAATACCCGATCCCGCTGCAGGCACCAACACCGCGTTTCTCTCTTCCGTCAGACTAACCCACTGATCCACGAGGCTTTGTTCTCGCTCTATGTCCTGTTCGGTTTTGTCTGAACAGAAAGATTACTGTGTCAAAGTCGACGATCCATCACAGTGAGAAGCTCTCTCAAGAGTATATACCAAAGTATACCTTGTTTGTTGATAAGTTTTTGTATCTGTTGATCCAAGTATTGTCTCCTTCTCATCAACGCCTCGCTCCATTTTTCTCTTAGTATGCTCAAGTCCTCATCCTGATAACTGTCCAATGGGATCTGGAGACGATTCCTCACCGATACGCTGCCAACCGCTATGTTTAATATCGACTGGCAAATAATTGGCAATGTCCCTGAATTTTGTACTGGTTTCACCCGAACTTGTATCCGTCGTTGTTGCCCTTGACGTAATTGATAAATACCGCCTGAGGAAGAAAGAAAGACATTGCGTTGCGTTAGGTAGTTTATTACATTCACAATTGTTCAATTATTATTACAGAGTAGATGTAACGTGCACCTGTCCACGTATCTTGTTTTACAACCACATCCACTGGCGAATATTCCCCTTGTTCGTTCAGTTCCTGAATTTCTACCCAGAGTTCGATTTTCCGCGTTAACTCCGACCATCGATCAGCCAGGGATCTGGCCTTGGCAAGTTGTTGCTCCACTTCCCAGCCTGGCTTGCTTCGGGAAAATCCGGCACTTCGGTGTCCCCAAACCTCTATGCTTAAGGCCCCTTCTGCGCATGAAAAACTGTGTTTAGTGGTTTAGTGGTCGATATTTGGAATAAGTTTCCCAGTGATTACTATCACTCATTGTTTTCCAATCATTTAATTCAATAGCATAGTATATACTAAAGACTGCTGACTATAAGGGAATTCTTAATCACTGGGATCTTCGTTACTCACCGCTACAGTGTTCGATAAACTCCTCGGTTATGGGCACGGTAAAATCTTTCGTGTGATTGAACTTGAACACCAGAGAGTCCCTCTGCCCTGTCTGGCAGTTCGAGTTCAACTGCTCGGAATTGTCCACGGCTGGGACCACTATGGGGTCCGGATGCCCGCAGAACATGTACTGACAAAATACAAAATGGCTGAGTGACAATGGCAAACCAGTTGCTTGTTTGATGGTCACGCGGCACGTGATAAAGCTCGAGCCGGAGTAGTCCTCCGGTTCAGACGAGGTCGAGTCAGTCGACGACTCCGACGCTGCCTCGCAGATACGATCCTGAGGGAAGTGACCAGATATGCGGCTAATCTCGACCTGCAGTCGTCCAGCGACTTCACCTTGTTGACTGATAATCGGCGTGTGGTAATCTAACCGAACGTCGTGAAACAGAACCTCTAAGAAAACATTCGCTACACCGATGAGATTGTGATTCTCTTGGGACTCGTAAAACGGGTCTTGAGTCTTTCCCGGCACTTCGTCCTGTAATTTGTAACACACCATCAATCTCAGATCAGATAGCCAACTGGCAACCAGAGAACGAATTAGACAGCGTACCTTAATGGCAGGCAATCGTTGACAATTATTGGGATCCTTTCTGTCCTCGTACATCTCCCGCATGTCGACTAGCTTGTTTTCTAACTTCTCCATGGACCACACTTGGCTGCCCATGTTCGTCCTCTTCACCAGAATCGCAGGCTCGCTGACGAAGGCGCCCCGCTGGAAAAATACACTCTGCATGTCGAAGAGTGTACGTGTGAAAACGGAACGAACACAAATGAATAAACTCAAGAAATAAATGAAATGAGAAAAAGAAAACACAAGGACAAGAACACATGGAAATTGTCACAATTGTACCACAAATTAAGAGAACACAGAACTAAGATAAGAAATCAAAAATGAACAAACTCAAGAAATAAATGAAATGAAAAAAGAAAACAAGAATATGTGGAAATTGTCACAAATTGTACCACAAATTAAGAGAAGACAGAGCTAAGACAGGAGATCAACGAATGACAAAAACATACAAAAATTATATAATCAAGCCATAAATTAAGGGAAGGCAAAGCTAAGATGGAAAATCAACGAAACGTGGAAAGTGAGAACTACTGAAAGCAAACTTAACTTCCAAAGGAAAGACAACTCGTTTAAATCTCAGATTCTGTGGAAGTTACAAGCTGTTGGTTGTTTTAAGAGGCCAGAACCGAACTTTGATCTCACACAATGCAATTACTTCTAGTGTTACAGTATTACCTTCCTGTTTGGACTCAAATTGTTCGGCGGAATTTGCAAAGTGACGCTAAATTTCGTTTGCTTTCCCATCTCCTCCGCCAGGAAGTTCGCCTCCTGCACCAACGCGTTCGCCTTCAAGATGTCCGCTTTCAACTGACCCAGACTCCTCTTGAACATCTCGTCCCTTTCTTGGGCCCACTTCTCCACCCGCATCTGCGTGGTGGGCGTGCAGGCAGGAAGCTTACTGCTCTGACTGCCCCGCAGAGGGTCGTACGGCACGTAAGGAGAATAAGGTGTCGACGGGGACAAAATGTTGCGAAGTTGCTGGAACTGCCGCTCGTACTCTTGTCTTTGTTTCTCTAACGCGACCTAAAAATAAAGGTACGACAAATAAAGATGCGACCTGATAAGATAAAAGTATACGACAGAGAGATTTATGGTAATTTTATTTAAAGGTCACAATCTTCACAACCTTCCGTTTGGAGATTCAGTCTTATCACATACAGGGTGTCTCATTTTAATCTACAAAGCTATTCAACATTTGAAAAATGTCTCAAGGTGTATTTTTTCCTGTTTTGAGAGAGCAGTTTGGCACACTTATTGTTAGTCTTTAGATAGATGAGTATGTGAAGGTCACTAAGATTTCTTCAAGTATAATTATGTCATTTTTTTTTCAATATATTCTTTATAAAAAAAAGTATTAATCTATCTACGTCTAAAACCCATCAGTTTAGAAGATATTTTCTTTTATAAAATCTATGCATAAAAGACAGGAACAGTATGAATACAAGAATAAAACTGTTCTTGTTCTTCAACGTTTTTCACATGACAGATTATTAATTTTATAAAATTAAAGTATCCTCTAAATTAATAGTTTTTACAGAAAATGAAATTGTATGATTATACTCGAAGAAATAATAGTGATCTTTGTATCTGCTACACGTGTCTACCTAGACACAAACCAAGTGTGCCAAATTACTGAAAAAAAAAAATGCATTTAAGAATTAAAGTGGGACATCCTGTGTATGATATTTCTGGACAAGAGGAGCAGAGGTCTCTTAATTATAATAACTTGTAGTAAACGTCAAGATGTTCCACACAATCAAATTGGATCTCCTCTGAAGGAAATTTCAATACCTGTTTATCTTCCTCGTGCTGCTTCTCGAGTCTGGCGATGGCTCTCTGAATAGGGTCGTTCGACAGTTCATTAAGCATCAGTTCTTCTCGCGCGAAGTTGTAATCGATATTCTGCGCTGGCGTTTG